AGGGACGGCTAGTCCAGATAGCCCTCGTGTAGCTTTGCGCGAAATCCACAACAAACAAACAGTGTAACTACGTATTAAAGAGTGCAGTTGATTATTAAACAGTATAATTACGTATTAAAGAGTGCAGTTTATTATTAAACAGTGTAACTACGTATTAAAGAGTGCAGTTGATTATTAAACAATGTAATTTCGTATTATAGAGTGCAGTTGCTTATTAAACAGTGTAATTACGTATTAAAGAGTGCAGTTGATTATTAAAAAGTGTAATTACGTATTAAAGAGCGCATTTTATTATTAAACAATGTAATTACGTATTAAAGAGTGCAGTTGATTATTAAACAATGTAATTACGTATTAAAGAGTGCAGTTGATTATTAAACAGTGTAATTACGTATCAAAGAACGCATTTTATTATTGAACAGTGTAATTACGTATTAAAGAGTGCAGTTGATTAATAAACAATGTAACTACGTATTAAAGAGCGCATTTTATAATTAAACACTGTAACTACGTATTAAAAAATGCAGTTGATTTGTAATTACTTATTAAAGAGTGCAGTTGATTACTAAACAGTATAATTTCGTATTAAAGAGTGCAGTTTATTAAACACTGTAAATACGTATTAAAGAGTGCAGTTGATTATTAAATAATGTAATTTCGTATTAAAGAGTGCATTTTATTATGAAACAGTATAATTACGTATTAAAAAGCGCAGTTGATTATTAAACAGTGTAATTACGTATTAAAGAGTGCAGTTGATTATTAAACAGTGTAATTACGTATTAAACAGCGCAGTTGATTATTGAACAGTGTAATTACGTATTAAAGAGTTCAGTTGATTTATAAACAGTGTAATTACGTATTATAGAGTGCAGTTGATTATTAAAAAGTGAAATTACGTATTAAAAAGCGCATTTTATTATTAAAAAGTGAAATTACGTATTAAAAAGCGCATTTTATTATTAAACAGTGTAATTACGTATTAAAGAGTGCAGTTGATTATTAAACAGTGTAATTACGTATTAAACAGCGCAGTTGATTATTGAACAGTGTCATTACGTATTAAAGAGTGCAGTTGATTATTAAACAGTATAATTACGTATTAAAGAGTGCATTTTATTATTATTTTTATTATTTTATTCTTATTTTATTCTTATTACATATTAAAGAGTGCAGTTGATTATTAAACAGTATAATTACGTATTAAAGAGTGCATTTTATTATTATTTTTATTATTTTATTATTATTTTATCCTTATTACATATTAAAGAGTGCAATTGATTATTAAACAGTATAATTACGTATTAAAAATACAGTTTATTATTAAACAGTGTAACTACGTATTAAAAAGTGCAGTTGATTATTAAACAATGTAATTACGTATTATAGAGTGCAGTTAATTATTAAACAGTGTAATTACGTATTAAAGAGTGCAGTTGATTAATAAACAATGTAACTACGTATTAAAGAGCGCATTTTATTATTAAATATTATAATTACGTATTAAAGAGTTCAGTTGATTATTAAACAGTGTAATTACGTATTAAAGAGCGCATTTTATTATTAAACAGTGTAATTACGTATTAAAAAGTGCAGTTGATTAATAAACAATGTAACTACGTATTAAAGAGTGCAGTTGATTATTAAACAGTGTAATTACGTATTGAAGAGTTCACTTGATTTATAAACAGTGTAATTACGTATTAAAGAGCACATTTGATTATTAAACTGTGTAATTACGTATTAAAGAGCGCATTTTATTATTAAACAGTGTAATTACGTATTAAAGAGTGCAGTTGATTATTATACAGTATAATTACGTATTAAAGAGTGCAATTGATTATTAAACAGTGTAATTACGTATTAAAGAGTGCAGTTGATTAATATACAGTATAATTACGTATTAAAGAGTGCAATTGATTATTAAACAGTGTAATTACGTATTAAAGAGTGCAGTTGATTATTATACAGTATAATTACGTATTAAAGAGTGCAATTGATTATTAAACAGTGTAATTACGTATTAAAGAGTGCAGTTGATTAATAAGCAAT